GGGGGGAAAGTGAGGAGGGGGGGGGGGACTGGGTCGCTGGGGTGTCGGAATCCCCACCCGAGAGGATAGCCATTCGCCCGGAAAAGGCAAAGGTTCAGCACCAGCACTCGAGCGAGTGGGAGCGAGATAGAAATGGAAAAGAGGTGGAAGGGGTCTGCGGCGGGGGATAAGTGGAAGCGAGAGAGACGCGCGGTTGGGGTAAGACTGCGGGGGAGAGGGGGAGGCATTTTCAGCTGACGCTTGTTACGACAGAAGCGGAAGGCGGAAGGCGCTTGCCATAACGCACTCATCTCTATGCAAGGCCGTCGTTAAACACACTCACAGCGCGGCGGGGGGTCACTCGAGGCAGGGCCGGGCTAAATAGAAAATTGGCACGGCGGCGACGACGGCGGCGGGCGGGAGATGCAGTGCGGTTACGCTTATGAAGTGACCCCGCCGCGAGGCGCCTGCGGTGCCCCACCCCTACCCCGCCCCGCCGCACCCCGCCACGCATAACAAGGCCAGACGAAAGACATAAATCGGCTCCTAGTAGGCCCTACCCCGCTATGAAGCCCAGGCCGCCCGCTGAGCGCCGCTGCTGGTGCTCGTGCTTTTCTCTCTCTCTCCCTCTCGTGCTCAGGGCGGCGGACGGCCGTCCCCGGGGCACCCTGAGCAGCCGCCCGCCCCGCCCCGCCGCCACCAGGTTCACCAGCTCCACCACCACCGACCCCCTCCCTGCCTGCCACCCCGCACAATTACCATTGTATGAGCAGTTGGGGAAAAATGGAACGCGACGCGCCGCGGGGGGGTCGAGCAGCCTGAGGGGGGAGGTGTTGTAGGTGTGGCCTGCAGGGCCTACGGGCGCACCTCGCCCCGGGGACATGTCGGGGTAGAACCGCGCTGCTGCTTCTGCGACTCTCAGCGCTCCCCAAACCCCCTTCTCACTCGCGCACTATTCCTCTCCCCCCCCCACACACACACACACACATTCACAAACAACGACGGGGAATCCGAAAGAAAAGCCTCTCCGGCCGCCCCCCGTAAGCCGGCAGCGAACATATCGCCAAGCAGCCTCCTGGGCGCGGGCGGGCTCACGTGGCAAACACAGCCCGAGGGTCTGGAGCTCACAGGCCGAGGACTATCCCTCTCATGAGCCCCCCCCCCCTCTCTCACTCTCCCTCTCTCGGTGTTTTACGCCTTTAGTCGGTCAGGAGAGTCCCTCGTGCTCCTGTGTGGTGGTACCCGCAGCCGTGCGATTGACCTTGATCGCCCCCCCCCCGCCCCCTTTTCCCTGCTCGACCTTCAATTAGTCGCTCAGCCGCGCTTAGCTCGGCCTCCTCGGCGGCACAGCGGCGCAAACACTAATTTTCCGCTGCGTCTCACGAAGGATAAGCCGCGCGTATGCAAATTGGCACGCAAACATGCGCGACCCTCCTCGACGGACGACGCCCTCGTCGTCGGCCTCGTCCTCGAGGCCCTGGCTGGAAGCCCCAAAAACCCCGCGGTGGCACAACGACGTAAGCGTCGTGACGTGAACTTTCACTTTTCTGCAAAAAAATCCTCTGCTTTTGAACAGTGGTGAAAGTCTAGTGAGGAAGTGCCTAACATGTGGAATCTAAAATAACGGGAAATAACTATGACAAATTCATGAAGATTTAGTTGAAATGACATTGAATCTTTAATATTTACTTTAAAACAAAATATAGCATACAGAAAATTATGAAAATTACACTTCTTAAACAAGACTAGATTTAGTTGGCAAAGTAGATCATAACAATACAGGATGATTATTCCAGTTACAATCTGACCCACAAATACTGGGACGGTTGATGGACATCTGGGTAGGGGCATTTGCCTACAGGGTGCATGAAAAGCCCGACAAGCAGACGCCGGTTGCCACCCCACATCTCACTGTGGCAGCCCTGCGCACAGAACTCACACATGCCGAGGTCGGAAACGCTCCGACAAGTCGTAGGAGTTCCCGACTTCACATGGAGCGACGGGTTCGTCGATAGGAGCTTCAGGGTAGATTTCTCGTGCATGTAGTGGTGATGACACTTCAAGAGAGATCCCAGCTCGATGCTCTGTAGGGCCGGGGCATTCTTCGGGGTGATGGTGCGTAGCAGCTTCCGCAGCTCGTCCATGCCAACCTCTATGCCAGTGTCCAGCCGAAGGTGCTGCAGGTTCGGCAGCAAGGGGAGCGCGCTAGCCAGGTCACGTAGATAGGTGAACAACCCTTGGCTGACAGAGAGCATTTCTGCCTGCGGTTCTCCAGTCGACGAAAGTATCACGACCAGCTCAAGGCCAGAAAGAGAATTAAATGGCGTGCTGATCAGCAGCCTCACACTGCGCAGCTGGGCGCTGCGGAGGAGGAACTCTCCGGCTTTCTGCACGAACCTAGTGACGATGGGCTTACATCTCAAGCTACGTACGTCCATGATGGTGAGATTACAGTGCAGCGAGCGCAGCTTTGGCATGCCGGCCAACAGGGACCCCGTCCGCATGATCAACAAATCGATGGGGCTGAAGCCGTCCCGTATCTCATGCTCGAAACAGCGGACGGTGACCTCCTCTAGTGTGGGCGCGTTCTTCTCTAGAATATACTCGCGGAAGAGGTGACAGTGGCCGTCCAGGTGGCAGGCGAAGCGCTTGAGGGTTGACATCCGACGGACTGCGAACCCCTTCAGGACGGAATCAGCCACCTTGGGCGATGACAATTCCGAAAACTTCAAGCTCTCCAGCCCCGAGACCGTCAGCGCCGTCCGTACAAGCGCGGCCTCGTCCTCCAGGTCCGCGTCGTCAATGTCGCTGTCGTCCAAGTCGACGGGTGCGTCAAAGAAACCATCGACCCCCGGCAGCCTCAATTCCAAGTGCCTCAGTTGGCCCAGCGCCTCCTGGTTGCGGATCGCCCTGGCGGCCCTCGTGCACCACGCGTGATCGTCCCCGCCTCGGCGCACGACGACAGACAGCTCGACAGCGGCGCACCGGGTGTCGTACAACAGTCCGTCGCAGTCGTCTTCGCCGGGCCCGAGCTTCAACTTCATCTCGTGCACGCAGGGGGCGAGACGAAGCGCGGCGCGCAGCCACGGCCGGTTGTAGTGCCCGCAGTCGCTGCGGACCCGACGATGTCGCCACACGTCCGGCCGCAGTGCCACGGTCGCGAGCCGCTTGCACGCGACGCGGCAGGCGAAGAGGTCCTTCAGGTCCAGGTGTTGCAGAATCAGCGCAAGAACGTCGTCGCGCAAGGCCTCCATGCTCACGATTCTGTAAAACACCCAAACATACCACGTGATTAGTGCGACTCTTGCCCGGGTCTAGGGGGTTGCCAACCTGCGAATTTTCCATTGAATTATTCACTCGAATCAGTCCTACACTGCATCCACTCAATTTTAAACCGCGTTTTACGTTGGGGGGGGGGGCACATAGAAGGAAGAGGGGAAAACTTTCAAAACAGACTCGCAAAAAGATCCCAACATGCGGCCAAGTAGTTTACGGTACGGTCAGCCCCGAGGTAAAAATATTGTCCCCAATAACAATGCATCACGCGAACAGTCACGCAACTCTCCACGAGCAGGCCTATTGAGAGACGTAGGCCGGGCGGGGTCGCAGCCCGACCTCGTTAAGGAGGCCAGGTAATACCGCGCCTTATCAAGGTCCCCCGTGATGAAGACCGTCTTCCTGTTTCGAAAGCCTCGGTAAGACGGACGGCGGCGGCGGTCGGGGGGGGG